TATTTCGGTATTACGGTCCCCCTTATAGGAATGTGACAACCGTCGTCTATGTACATGAACACCACCATACAAACTGCCTATTTTCGGCTTCCGTAACGCATATTATTTTCTCTTTACGTAGAAGTTTCAGAAAAATTGTAATAAAAAACAAATAATCTAATTTCAAACCTTAATGATTACGAGGTGATTCACTCAATAAGAAATTCAAAATTAGTGTATATTCATATTATAAAGAGGGAGCTAATTATATTATGACGGTTTCTGAATTATGATTGTTAAATAGAGTCAACTACTCTAGTTGACAAATATGGTTTATTAATAATTAATTTAATTATAATAATTAATATTCAACTTCATACAATGTAAAATATTCAAAATAATCTATTACAATCTCTTATTGAAGCATTACTCTTTGTTTAACAAAAGGAGGCCATATATTACTTTTATACTAATAAGATAATTACATGTCCTTTCATGGAATAAGTTGTTGAAACCAATTATTGCGATATGGTAGCCACCACCGCTGAAATTATGGTAGTTACACGCAAAGATTGTGTTTCGCACGTAACCTAACTGAACTAAACCTTATTGCCATTGATACAAGGTTTGATTTGATCTTCTCAAACAAATCACGACATTCGAAAATTGCACTTGCCTGGAGACAGTTTGTTCTACTATTAAAAATTTATAGAATAGGTAATATATAATTATTAAAAATACTATTTTATAAATGCAGTTGTATAATACTATAAGAGTGTCTGTTTGTTACCTTTTCACGAATTAACCCATCACAATAAAATTTAACGTGAGAACAGATGGTATAACGAGGTCGGACATAGACAATCTTTTATCTAAAACAAGCAGAAGATGTTGCGGTAAACAGCCACTATAATATAATGATACCATTCCCTTGAATTTATTTATTTATAACACTATTGCAACAAAATAGAAAGAACAGGAACAAAATTAATAATAAACTAAATTTAATATTTTCAATTTTGAGTTTTTTATTAAAATGGATCAACATGAGACCACATAACTCTAACAGGCTGAGCGACAACATTCCTACTCCATTAATGAGATTTACAGAAGCTCCAAATTTCTATCTAATATTGTCCTCATGGCTAATCAAGTTTTTCGAGTAAGAATGTGATATGTCGAAAATTGCAATATTGGAATTTGTATAAAAATAAAAGGTTAGATTTCTTATTATCGTAAGTATTTATGCAAAATGGCCGACTAAAGCGGTGTAGATACGGACATGTAGGATTTCAGATCCAGACTTATGACCATACAATAATGCCTGCACCAGAATGTTGAAATGGCATAAACATTGATTACTGGACATAGTGCTCCATTATAAATATAACAGTATTTTTAGACACCTGTATATGCTGCATCCTGTGAATTTGGGCCCAGAATAGGCAGACAGATTTTTAAGGCCGCCAAAATGTATTCCGAGGAAAGGCGACCAAATTTGAGTGAAAGCGACCTACTTTAACACACTAGTTGTATCTATGATTACCTATTGACTGTTCAGAATTGAATAAAAGGTAAAGGTAAAATAGAAATCTGAGTGGACACGTATGTTATGTGTATGAAAATCATTGAAATCAGTTCATCTGTTTGAAAATTACTGTCTCTAATCAAACTTTCACATTTATATTATCAGTACGATTCCAAACATCCAGATACTAAGCCTGATAATATTTAAATACCTTTCACACAGAATTATGCAGATAAGCAGATATAAATATCTACAGAAAAATGAACAAAGATCAAATAACATTAATGGATCTTTTGTATTGAAAGTTGAAAAGCTTTTAGTCGAGCGCATTTAGGTTATTAGTAACAATAGAGAAATGACAAACGTTTCAAATAACAGCCTTCTACTAAGCGATTGACAGGAACAGGGAACAGATATTTAAATTACAACTGATGGCCAATCTAATCCTACCGCCAAGCAGCTTGTTTTATATGACATACAGCAGTGAATGGTAGAGTAGTCACAATCCTCAGAAATAGCAATACGTAAGAAGTACATACTGCTATTCATGTTTATAGGCGATGGTGCCTACCTTCAGTCAAGTAAACAGTCAGCTATTTTGCCATTCCAATTATGTAAAAAGTTTCAGTTGGAAGACAATAATAAAATAAACATTTTCTTGTATAATTATTACAATTTGGTATAATTGGAAATAATTAATAATACCAGGTACAATAATTTCAAAATTGATTCAGAGTTGGTGTAGTGATTTTTATAGTGACAATAATATTACATATCACCGATATGTTAAATTATAATTTTAATTGACTGTATGTAATGTAATGTAATTATAATTGGACAGGACAAATAGAAAAAAAAATAAAATACATACAAAAATAGTGTCTAACGCAACAGAACTGAAATGTAACTAAGAAAACCTCATCCTTTTTAAAGTGGGATCTGCTATTTGTTGTTTATCTGGTTATTCTTGCTTTGTCACAGCACAGAAACCCTTTGCGAAATGGTCTAAAGGCTGTCGGATATGCGCTCTAATTACTAAACTGAAACGGAGCTAGTACCACGAGGCGGAAAAAACTTTTGTGGCTGCGACGTTCTCGTAAATATAGCACCAGGAAGAAATGATCACGGCGTTACAGTATACGATTTTGTAACAGAGTGTCAAAAATGAAATTAAAAGATATAAATATTAAGCATCCTAGCATTTTGTACCATTTATAAATTTACACATTTTATTTATTTATAAATTTACACTTTTTATGACCTACATTTATAGCCTGTAATAATAATGTTAAAAAATGTTACATTTTGTCTATAATGTATAATATTATAATGATAAAGTATTACAATGTTTACCTAACAGAGCATGTGAATATGCAGGATAGTTATTATTAATATTTGTGTGTTGATAAACATTTATTAATCATTCTATCCTTATGCCTTAGAACATATTCCTGTACTTATTCTATAATTTATCCTTATGACATTGCATTTAAATATAAATATTCGGAATGTCTACACCACTTATAACTTTATTACAGGAATACCTATTCATAATAAAACGTTCTAAAAGTAAATATCTGATAAAAATTCAATCTCCACTAAATTTGTTCATTTATTATTGACCCAATGACTAAAATTTTAATAGGAGAACGCACAACTGAAACATCTATAGTGAAATCTGCTACGAATCTAATTCGTTAAAAGAATTGACCAACACAAACTCTTGTGATAAAGAAAATAAACAAGATTTTTCATATCTCAAATAACAGTAACAGCACATTTATGTTATTTATCTTTAGTGCCTAAGATTACTGGTAACAAGCAATAGTTCAATTGTATATCATTACCTAATTTCACAGTAATTACCCGAAATCGTGGGTTGAGTGATAATTTTGTTAAGGTTAATTAAAAAAATAAAGATATGCATATATTTATATACTAAGTTTACTACCAAACTACAAAAGTTAGTTATAAGTAAATAAAGTTAGTTAAGACCTTTTAACACCATTCAAAGACATAATAATATCAAATATTGTTTTTTAGGAGTAGCTAATATTTGTAACATTTTATATTTAATATGCATAAATAAATATATCATTATAGCATGATAAACAGATGAATATTTTATTTATGTTGTAAGTTTGCTATATCCAAATAAACAGAATTGTATAAAAAAATGTACACAACTCAAATTAATTGTACATTTTAAATTTTTAGTATACATTACCATTCCTATAACACTGATAACTATTACTGTGGGTATGCAGGAATACTTAATATAATATAATAGACATCCAATTAAAGTGAAAAGGTCACTAAATTCTGTTTCGAGTTAGCTGTACTGATGAATAACTCTTTAGCCAAACAATAACTGCCAAAACTGAATATTATGATATAAACTAAAACAAAATTTGATACATCATATTAACATTTTTATATGTACTAATTTGCATATCAAAATAATAATACTATTGTAATCTAAATTACAATAAAACTATTGTTGTCAGATCTGGTAAATCTAACTTTTACTTCTACTAGAGTTCCAGTTAGTTGAGGAAACAAATTGAGTTCAGCAGTATGTAGAAAACTAATCTCCTTGTTTGTGTATCAAAAATACTCAAGTTTATAACCCTTTACACTACTATACTATATTGAGTATAAATAAATATTAAACAAAGTCCTCCATCACTTATCTCTGTATGTTTATGATGATAGTCTCAAAAACTACTAAATATGTTTTCATGCACTTTTCTTTAATCAACAAAGTGATTTCTGAGGAAGATTTCTGTGTATAATTGTTTTAAAAATCAATGCTTTTGGTGGGTGGTTAGTAATATAAAAAAATATTTATATAATGTAGATCAAACTACCATTGTTAAGTAGGAAACTTGGCTAGCCATGTTTACTTTAACAGACTGATACAAATGATTGTCGGTTAACACCATAACTCTCAGTTAGTAAATAATAATTTTCTAAATAGTTCCTGGCCATTAAAATAGCTATTACAATTCCAATTTGAAATAATTGGACTTGAATACCACTTTTTTCACAAGCAGCACTACAATTTCAATTAATCAATGTAGTGGATTGTAATTGTTGAGTCAACATAATCATAAGATTATTATTACTGACATAATTGCAGTATAATTGTGTTTACTTTTTGTACAGACTATAAAGAGTATGCAACTCTGTTAATCTTGTTGACATAAATCTTTGTTACCCAATGTTTTTTGCAATAAATAAATACCATGATATATATAAACAATAATAAATATTACTATAACTTAACCGTAATGTGAGTAATAATGGTTTTAGATAATAAAAGTTATGTAAATATTGATAGAGAATGTATAGAATTTAAATATTTGTAATAAAAGTACTAGTTCAAGTGTTAAGTACTTTGTCTATAAATTTATATGTTTTATTTATTGTTTGATGTTATACATTTATAATAGATAATATTTATATAATCAACTAAAATGATTTAACATACCTTAAAAGAGCTGTGCACTAATGTTTCATCAAGATCAATGACCATACACTTTTTATGCATGTCTTGATGTCTCACTGGTGGCAACAATGGTCTTGGCGCATGATCTGCCATGACCAGGAGAGGAGGTGAAGCCCTGCCATCGATGCTGTTTGCGCCATTTCCACCAGGAGGCCCTTTGCCTCTTCCACCACGCCAGCAGCATAACAATGAACGTAGGAATCCTCCACTGCCACTGGACTTTTTACTCCCTAAAGGAGTGGACCCCGACACTGGGGTCCCGTCCCCATCATTATGTTGCCCGCCAGGGGGTGACCCTAAAACAACCGACATATCACATAAAACTCACTACAACACTAGCACACGCGGAAGACCAAATCGGCATTTTAGGTGGGATTGGTCTAAGGAAAGACAAGCTCTCAAGGTTGCTGTTAGGAATGTTATCGCGTTCACACATTCAAAGTGTTTACCTCTGGGCCCGCACAAACCAATAACGCAATTCATCAAATACAATTTTTTTGGTCATTTGCTGACTCCACATCAATGATGAACGACAAATATTTACAAGTCAAAGGTAACACAACACGCTCTAATTTAATGCCAGTAGGTAACAGGTGTAATTCAGTTTAGATTTACCTCTGTCGGAGCCATAATTGTTTAATTGCTCGTCATCCCGTGACACCTGAGTTATAATGGACGATGCGTCCATTTAAACATTTGTTTTGGGCCGTAATACAAATGGCAACGAAGTTTTTGTAAAACTTTAACACCATAAAACTATTTTTTATCTCCCTTCTATTTTACAAAATGGCAGGCTCTTGGCAAATACCAACTTCAAGTTTAGCCAACATAATAACAAAAAATGAACTATCTCTTTCAGCTTCATAGAAATGAAGGGAATAAACAGTATTTTTCTACTGCTGTCATGTTGTTCACATTGTCTATAACCAAAAATAGAAAACCTGCGTTCAGAATTGAAAACGGAAATCCAAATGCATTGTTTTACAATGAAATCTTATAGGTTGTGTGTTTATTAAAGCAATGCAATTATTTTAAATATCATATCGCAAGTTCTGCAATAACTACTTACATTTACATTGTGTAGGTAGTTACAGTTAAACTTAAATATTTAATGTGCCCTTAAAAGGTGTGAGAATGAATCAAAATATCAATTGTTCGTATTACAAATGCTCACAGAGGCTACAGTACAAAATACTACAAATAGTTTAATTTCAATTAGAATGTAGTTTAGGATCTTTATTTTATTAAAGAATTGTTCAATTTGAATATGTAATATTATATTATCTGTGATTTGGATTACTATCTTAGAACTATAAGATCACTGTTGACCACATGAAGTTATTAACAATCCCGTCAATCAAAGAATGTCAAATCTCAGAGGACTTAATCTGTTCTGTCAATTGGTGTCGATTTGTCAAACCTAAATCAACAAAAACTACTCGGTACTTTATTCCGAGGACTGTACGATTTAATTATGAATTTATCATTTAATTTATGAACACAATAGGTTTTTCGTTTCTAATTTATTTGATTTTTATTTTAATTGTTGACTGTGTTTAAGATGTCTCAGTGCGATCCAGGACCAATCCCAGATAGGTGGCTGAAATGTCCACGCAAGTCCACTAGTTTGATTGCAGACAAATTTTTGGCTTTCAAAACACCTCTTGGTAGTCAATTCAACGACAAAGTGCCAGAGGAAAGCCGATTTACGCCTTCTATGTTGTTCTCTGTTATGAAAAGTTTAAAGGTAGTGTTGATTTGCATGAACTAGCACATTTTGAATTGACCTACAAAAAAAACTTTAGTACTTACATTTTTTAAACGATGATAATTAAATCTTGCTCTTACTTTCGTTAGCGATATAAGCTGAAGGGACATCCATGGCGGATAATAAGATGAGGATGAAGTCAGGTCAGTTAGCCAATTGTAGCGTATTCACCAGTAATAACATTGATGATGTCCAGGGTGAACCGCGCTTAGGTTTACCTGATTACTAGCGACATTGCTAGCAATGGGCCACTGGTAGCCATTACAAATATTCCATCCACCTGAAAAATGATTTTTCTAGTGATGATCTGAGAACAATGATTTTTATTGTTAAATATTGATGTTTGTTTGTTTACACTATTCAATCTTAAAATTAGGATTTATTCTAAGATGACACCTTTTAAAAAAGTAAGTTAAGTGAGGCATCAGTTCCATTTTTTATATATGTGGAGTACATAATAATAAACACACAGATAGAAAGCTTTTCTGCCATGAATTCATTGTGAGTGTGTAAAATATTACAGTTACATAGAAACACAATAATTTATTAACATTACAATTTTTAGGTCCTTAGAAAGATAATGTGTAGTAAATTCATTAGAAATATCACAATGGTTTCCAGGGTGAACCACCTACTTCCATCCATTTAGTAGCTATAATGCCACAGATACACATATTAAACTAAACAAACCTCTCTTTTAACCAGAGGTCAAAATTCAGAGCTAAACACCTGCACTCTTATAAATAATTGTTGCAGGTTAAACTTGGATTGTGGATTGACTTGACAAACACAAGCCGATTTTATGACAAGAAGGAGATTGAAAATACGGATTGTAAATATATAAAGTTGCAGTGTCGTGGACATGGTGAAACTCCATCTCCTAAACAGACTAAGTAAATATATTTTACAACTTCATATATTGAGTACTGTTCCCAATGTACATGAACACAGAGTACTTAGACATTTTGTACTTAGGATTTTCAATGATTAATATAATATAAATAATGAACTATGTTGATGTGGCTGTGTGTATGTATATGTATGTGTGCATAAAAATAAAGGCTACTAATTTGATTTAATGTCAGCAATATTTCCAAAATAAATGTATATTTTTTATATATTTAAAGTATTACTATTTTTATTATTACTAAAGTAAAAACATTATGGAATGTGTTTTTAAAAAAGGTTTGACTTAGCCTATTAGCGCTTCATATCTATTTTCTAAAATGATTTCTATTGTTTACTTTTTATATGATTCTTATACTGAATACTACAATTTACCTAATTTTAGGTATAAATATCATACTATGATATTGTTTTAAATTCTTGTTTCTATTTTCTGTCTATAAAATATGTGAATTGGTTCTTATTTGAATTATAACATACATAATTATAGCAATGTTTAGAGGAACTTGAAATAGATTGTGACGACGACTATGACGACAGTCCAAATGCAGTCGGATCCTGAACCAAACAGCTCTTCTTCGATTTTCAATGATGACTTCCTTTTTTCACATTTATAATAAAACCTAATTACATGTATTTAAATATTTTCATTTGCACTTTCAGAATATTCATTGAATTAGTAACCAAATTCCTTGCACAGAATCCATTGCAAGTGGTTGGTGTACACTGTACTCATGGTTTTAATAGGACTGGATTTCTTCTTGTCTCATACATGGTGGAACAGTTGGATTGCAGTGTTGCAGGTGCTTTACATGAATTTTCAAAATTAAGGTAAATCTATTAATATTTTGCACACAGAACAAAGAAGTATATGTAATATTACAAACACCATTGCAAAATCACAGAACTTTTTGTTCTGTGATTTTACATATGAAATTTTGCACATATAATCTGTTAGGTTGCTAATGTACACTTGGCTAGTTGAAAGTTTGCTGATGTACATTTGGTTAATACTAAGGCTCTCCAATTGCAACATTTTGTTGCTAAGCCCTGCTAAAAAGAACAATAAAATGTTATAATTCTAACTAACAGATTATGGTACCCATTCTTAGAATAAACTAACAAATAGTCAAAGCAATACCTTTGATTAGGAGGCAGAGGATTGTTAGTACTAAGGATTAATGGCCCCAGCTAGCAATATACCTAAGATGTTGATCTCCGGTTCCCCTGGTAATCAATGTAGTTGATTCCAGGTGTTCACCACAAAGTTTTAAATGGTCTATCTTCATGCTCATAATAACATCTTCCACTGGTGCTCCACCAGTGTATACCTTTAGCTCATGCTGCTGCGCCATTCCATATTCATTCATCATAAAAAATACATTTTATTCACAGACCACCAGGTATATACAAACAGGATTATATACAAGAGTTGTACAGACGGTATGATGATATAGAATATACCCCAGCCGCCCCAGAGAGACCTGAGTGGTGTAATGGTGAGTATTGCCTTTAGCTAATATTGAGTATGTTACAGACAAGTAAAGTAACAACCAAACTATTAATTATTAACTAACAAATATAACTATGTTGATGTGGCTGTGTGTATGTATATGTATATGTGTATAAAAATAAAGGCTGCCAATTTGATTTAATGACAACAATATTTCAATATTTGTTTTTAAAAAACGTTTGACTCGGCCTATTATCGCTTTATATTTATTTTCTAAATTGTTTTCTAATGTTTACTTTTTATATGATTCTTGTACTGAATACTACAATTCACCTAATTCTAAGTATAAACATCATACAACGATTTTTTTTAAATTCATGTTTCTATGTTCTATCTATAAAATATGTGCATTTTATAAATTGGTATTTATAATGTTTTTTCTGAATTGGTTCTTTGTTATTGGATTATAACATACGTAATTATATCAATGTTTAGAGGAACTTGAAATCGATTATGACGACGACGACGTCGACAGTCCAAATGCGCAGTCGGATTCTGAACCAAACAGCTCATCAAAGTAAGTCATTATCAATTACACATTTTTACTACCCCTCGTCATTTCCCGCCCGAAACTAGGTCTGGAGTTACGCAAATATTTCTGGATTTATTTTCTAAGATTCAGCATTGTCAATATCATAGTAAGAAGGGAAGGGGGTTGTTAATAATGTGGACTGTTGACCCTATTGCTGCTAGCAATGGGATCAACAGTCCAAATAATATCAGGTTAACCCTCGACGAGTTTGCCACAATAATAATAATAATAAGTGTAAAAAAAATAACCAGCAAAAGCTGAGAGAATATAAAAAATAAAAAATAATAATCATATTCCTCCACTGGTACCTCCAACCGGGTGCACCTTTCAATTATCATCCATTAAAAAATATATATCATAGTGAATGTACCACTCAACATGCTCATTTCGTGGGGTATATTTAAATCCAATGTCGGATGCCGTCATGGTAAGTGTTTCCTTCACCATAGAATTAGTCGGAAATATAAATTTACACATTTATTTTGTAGGAGGTAGGTCAGATTTCAACTCAGGACATTTTGAGTGTAAATTGGAGTAGTAAACCATTAGCGCGACACTTTTTTAATTTGTTAGAGATAGTTTTTGATCTATTAGGCCCTAGGATTACTAGTAATATATAATTACACTTTAGTTCCAGCCAAAAACAAAGAGGTCGTAAAGAGACTGTGCACAAAAAGGCTATATTCATGCCTGGGGTAAGAGGAGTGGAACCATTCAATACTCAACCTCGTCTCAAAGAAGTACAACAGAAAGCGCAAAAGTTCTGTGAATGGAAAAAAACTGGATTCCCAGGTGCACAACCCGTGTCTATGGACGTCATGAATTTAAGGAAATTACATGAAAAGCCATATAGAGTGTCATGGAAAGCAGATGGAGTCAGGTTAGGATTCTGAACAAATGTTTGTTATATAAAGTGTCCATACATTTTATTAGTACTAGTGGACACCTAATGATCGAAATTCAATCATAATTAATTTAACATTTAGTAAGACTATAGACAAATGATATTAAAAACAAACTAGTAGGCCCTATTAGGGTAATTTAATAATAAAAGTATGTGGACTGTAAACTACGTATTTTATATATATGATACAAAATAGACAGTGAATCCTGCGATGGCCAATGCATAGGGTGGCCGAGTGAGGCGTCGCATGGACCGAGTGCATATGATTAAAAAAAATTGCATTCTGCACTACTTGTGTGCGAAATTTCATACACCTCCATCCGTACAATTTTTCTAGAATGGGGTACAAAGTTTTTGGTTCACATTTAATATATAAATTATTCAAATTAAATCGGAACAATGTTATCATATAGCCTTATTTCAGTCGCTGGTAATAACTCAAATCCATCGTTTTGAAATGTAGGGCCGACAAGATACTACTCGGCCCTCACATTCAAATGTGATAGTAGTGTTATAATACATATTATTATTTGTAGATACATGATGTTAATAGACGGCGAGGGAGAAGTATACATGTTAGACAGAGACAACTGCGTGTTTAAAGTCTTTGGTTTAAGGTTCCTGCACAAACAAGATCTCAGAAGACATCTAAAGGACACTTTACTAGATGGTGTTAGTATCTATGTCTGTTGCATTATATTATTTATGCGTTATAATCGCCAATGAATATGTATCCGATATTTTCACTGCCATTGTATTCTTCGAATCCAAACACAGCATCGAAGCAAAAAAGAAACTTATGGTAACCTATTAATTCTATTGGCACAACTCTCGCCATACGCCGTATGGCTGTCAGCACTAAAGTAATGATATATTATATTATATATTTGAAAACAGTATGTATTTTTTTTTTTTGAGTGTTGATAATGGAATGGTGCACCCGCCTGCGCTAAAGTATGATAAGATATATTATATTATATATTAACATGAAAACGTGGAGGTCGACCTGACATGGTACATTGCTAGCAATGGGGTTATCAATCCACATTACTAACAATCCCCTTCCCCCCAACAGTATGTATTACATATTCTCTTCTTCAGTCGTTCTCTCTTGGCAGAGTGGTCGTAGTTTTTATGATGGTATCTCTACGTTGCTTTCCTTAGGGACAGAGCTCCTCGCAATTTGCCTCCATTTGGTACGGTTTTTGCCTGTACACAAACATGTATGTACTATTAGGTAGCCGTTTTGTTCATGTCAGTCCATTTTCTTGGTAATCAATGCCAAGGTCTTCATTCAACCAATTCATCCAAATGTGATATAAAATAAGAATCGGCCATCCCGAAAAGAGCCAGGAGTCTATATTTTTTATTATTATTTAATTCAGGCTACTAATGACCCAAATAAATGTATTTATATAATAACCATTTGGTGTTTGCAGGAATTAGTAATAGACAAAGTGGAAGGTCAAAATATACCAAGGTATCTGGTGTATGACATAATAAAATACGAGGGTGAAGATATTGGCAAAATGGCATTCTACCCCACCCGATTGGATTACATTGAGAAAGATATTGTTAATCCTAGGTAACGAACTGACAACCATCTGCATACTTTTACATAGGACTAGCAGTGCCCGCGGTTGCATGAAATTTCTAGCCCATTGTGCTGTATAAACTATATTACTGTAAAGTTTCATCAAAATCCGACTTTGTAATGGACATTCTCAATTTCGCCGGATTAAAATTAATGGTTTTGCAATTTTATATCTGCAACTCACAAGTGTAATATAAAATCGCAAATTTTATATGAACCACTTGTGAGTTGCAGATATGATTGTTTAGTTGTATGGTTCGTAATTAGAAATGTTCAGAACCAAACTGCAAAATATAATTTATTGTTTTGTATATACTTATACATAACTATTATCTAATTAAGCCTTTTTGGCTATAATGAATTAGTGCTAGTTAGTAGTTCATATTCACACATTTCAACTTACTCGTAATAATGTAAAGTTACAGCAATTATTCAAAAGAGCAACACGCAAGTGTCTAGCTCATTCTTCATGTGTTGAGACAGTTTGAGCTGTAGATTAAATAAGTTATGACTGGTATAGTCATAACTTATTTTTTAATCTAAAGTGCTTAAATGTAAATTTATTTTCATAATGTATTTTCTATTCCATTCAATTAATGAGTAAACATCGTTTACACAAACAATTAAAGCAACTGAAAAATAGTTTAATGTTAATGTATTAAAAATGCAATAATAATATCGAACTTTTAGACACGAGGCAATGATGAAGGGTATTATAAAGAAAGATCAAGAACCATTCAGCGTGAGATTAAAACAATTCTGGGAAGTTACGATGGCGCAACGGTTGCTAGGAGAAAAGTTTGCAAAGTCACTGTCCCATGAACCGGATGGACTTATATTTCAACCATCCAAAGAGGTAAGTATAGTTTATAGGAGTTGAGAATGTCAGGTTAGAACTGTGGGAATGAGTACTTCCAATAAAATATTAATTAAAATCATGATGTGACCAGTTTTGACGCAATATATAAAAATAATTCCGCAAATACGTGAATATTCAGAAAGAAAATTTGATTTAAGTTGACGAGACAGTGATGAAAATTTTTAAAAATGGTTGAGAAACGCCTCTTAAAAAAATCGATTATGGTAAGAAATATCACAAAATGTGTCAAATAAAAGTTGTAGAGAAAAAAATTCTGCAAAGAAAGTCCTGATTATAAATCTTTGTAATAGAAACATTTTACAACTTTTCAGCCATACCAAGCTGGCCAATGTCCGGATGTTTTAAAATGGAAACCAAGCAATATGAATAGTGTTGATTTCAAGTTGCAAATAGTTACTACTGGTGGACTAGGGTGAGTTTTTTATGTAATAGAACTGACTGAGTTTGCAGGACATTTTTCTTAGATGCTGCGCACTCAAGGTTGCGCACACACAGCCATTAATTTGACCCATGTATGTGTAATACTAAGTATTGATTTTATTTTTCTTTCGCTTTATTGTATAAATGTATATGTTTGTAATATTACCAAAGTTATGAATATATAAAAATACAATTATTCAAATACCCGTACTTATGGCATGACATCAGTCATAGGTCCATGCTCATGCAATCATGATATGGTTGCAAGTTGTTATTTTTATGTCAATGGTATTTAATAAATATATTAAATGTGAAGTTTTACATAAGACTTTTAAATGACATAATACTGTTTTTATCAAACAAAATATAAATATATTAATATTCTTTGTTTGTTTGTTTTAGGATGTTACCAACGAAAGAAGGCCATTTGTACGTCGGGCAATTGAAGGCTCCATTTGCCACTATACGAGTAACGAAAGAAATAAAGAACTTAAATAATAAGATCATAGAGTGTACATTTGATCAAAACACCAAACGATGGGTTTTTATGAGAGAAAGAACAGATAAATCTTTTCCAAACAGCTATAACACTGCTAGAGGTATATAATTTTTTTTTAATCATAGGTATATGTAAAATATTTTGTCTTATAATTTTTGGAAAACCTTCACTAGTATTTTCTGTATGTATACTACTATTAATATACCGCATATGGAATACTTAATAGTTTTTTATGCAATTGGAATATCGAACAAGCTTACGATCCATTTGATGGTATGCGGAAACCGACGCCTATCATGTTCCACCCGCGATACCACTCATGTGTTGCTATTCCAGAGAACCAAGCTATCAAGCCTCTTATCATGTAATTTCTAATAGTAGTACTGAGAGCGGTAACAAAATTGTTTCAGCTGTATGCGAGAGTATACAAGACCCTGTCACAACCGATCGACTGCTGGACTACATAGAGCACCATCGGTTTTCAGACGACTCGGATATAATGCCACCACCGAAAAGGTCACGATACTAACGACGTGGCGGTGACGGGACGGCAACTCTTTTAGTTTTTCAATTTGTCTCTTATATGCAAAAACTTCATTCCATGAAGAAAATGTAAAGATTTAATAGTCACTATTTGCAATGAAATGATAGACTATTTGTATCAACGATAGAGCCACGTGTCCTAATAGTATATCCTAACTTTGGTACATATAAGGCTGGGCAGTAAATCTTGCGACTTATAAACTACATGGTAAGAAATCTTATTATTTAAATAAGGTTTGACTTTGACAAATTGTATCTAACTATACCTACGGCATAATACGTGAACAGATATAACTTCTTTTTTTTTATCAATCAGTTAATATTAATTTATTATTCTCGACGTATGTTTTTCTTTAAGAAGTAATAACCCATTACCATCACATTTTAATTTATTTTATTCAATCGTGTATATAGACAAGGAAGAAAATTGTTTGATTCAAGATTGTTAATAAAATGAATCATAAAGATTGTTGAACTGTAAATGGTCTATTTATTTTTTATCAATTATAATACAGTATAATTTGAGTATTAAAATAATCAATAAATATAACATGGTAACAATCAATATATGAATCCCTCTTTAAAATATAATTAATATATCTAAAATGATAATTGTGTTTGAGGTGAATTATAAAGAGGTATGAGGTATCTAATAGATCGTTGGCAAACAGTACTCTCTATCTATTTTTATCTTATAAAAGGCTTGGCATGAAGATAAAATATATAGGTATATACAATCTATATAATTGTCACAGCCAATCTACCACACCAATTTATTTTAATTAATAATCATGGTTTTGTTGATATAAATGAAGATGAGTTTTCAATTGAGAATTCATTGATCTTAATTTAATTTTAAATGATGGATGGCCTTTATATATATTAACATATAACAAAGTCAACAAGAACTTATATGTGTAAACAGTAGATAAACTAGAAATATTTAACAAATTAATATATACGAAAAACGCTATATAATCCCTTATTTCATGAACATGTAAAATCTTATTCGAAAATATTTAAAAAGGTTTGTCATACAGCTAAGTCTCTCTATTTAGGTAAAATAATAAATAAATCTAAAGATAAAATAAAAGCCACTTGGAAAGTAATAAATAGCGAAACTGGAAAAGTTAATTTTCAAAATAGTAAAATATCCATAGAACCCATGGTGACTAAAACCATACTAAGTCAACCAATTATAAATTACTATTGATATTATACTGCCATCTTGTTTCTCCGTCGACTATAATACATTTTATTTTGCTTTCCTTTGTGAGCTTTGTCAGATGATGATTGACATTGTATGCAGCTGCCGGCCACAAATGTTCAGGTGTTTCTGTGTATATAATTTTAACTAGGTCCATTTCATTTAACTGCTTATTCACATTATTCTTTAGGGCTTCTAATATTTGTTCTTCTCTCTGATTTCGATGTGCTATGTAGTACTCTATTTTCTGTGTTGGTTCCTGTAAATAAATGTGTATTAAATAATCTTTATTTTGTAGTATATAAAATCATAAAATCGTGACAAGACAATATCTGTAGGTTTGCGCGTTTCACGGAAAAACATCTGGAGGAATTAAGAGATGACTATAGAGAAATAAGAACCACCTATATTAAGGACTAAAAATATAGTACAATTTATGTATAAATAAATTTAACATGTGTATATAAATAACTATACAAATGTTACAAAGAGGTAAAGTTTGGGAGGGTGTAAGAGGTAACTCTGCATGTACCAATAAAGAAAATCATAAACCATACTACAACCCATTTAGAAAATCCAATAGAAGGCCATGTTTTTTATGACTATATAACATTATGCTATAAAAAAATCTAGCAATTTATTATTATTTAACCAACTGGCAACACTGGTACATATGATGATTCATATGAAATATTATATTTGACTCAATACCTGTACAACATATTTACCTCTACAACATTTCCATGACCTGGATATATTATAGATGGCTTCAGTTCTAATATCCTATTCAAACTCTTCATATAAGTGTATAAGTCTTCAAAGACTGCAGTGCCTTCCCCCAATATACAATCTCCACTGAAGAGTACACTTTCTTCTTGTAATGTCAGTACTACATGATCAGTTGTATGACCAGGAGTATGGTGGACTTTCACTGTAGCACCCTCTACTTTTATTTCTTGCCCATCTGATAACCAGTTAACTGGGATTTCTGTAGGTAGGTAATTATCTGGACTATCATCAGAGCTACGCTTGTGTTTCCATATTTGTGGTTGTGCTGAAATATTTATAATTAAAAATACACATTATTATTGCAATAGTAATGGACACAAACAAAATAAAAGCAAGTAAAAAGGGCTTACTTATCACTACTCTTCCAGACAACCTTTCAAAAGAGATTAGTGAGAGTTATGTATCATTTGTTGATCATGGTTCCTTGTGTTATTAGCAATATGCCTTTAAAATCCCTTATTAATTTTGTACTAAATACTCTAATTCTGATAAAAAAAATCCCAATGTGATGACTAAAATTGGAGACAGTTATGACATGTCATCCATAGACAAGTGTAGTGAATAATGTCAATAATAATCTTAAATCCCACAAATACTTAAAAATATGAACCTGCAATGCTGCCATATATATTTTCAACTCCTCCAATGTGGTCATGATGCCAGTGTGTTAGCACAATATGTTCAATGTTCACCTTCTCAGATTGTACAAGTTCTGATAAGTTCTTTTGATACTCATTCACATCTTTGTCACCAGTGTCCAGGAGGATGCGACTGTAAATCAGAATTAAGGATTCTTTTACCATGAGAATTTTTTTTATAACTAGCAGACCCAACAGACATTGCTCTGTCTTAAATATGACTATTGAATTTGCATTGGTATAATTAATAAAAAAAAAATTTAAAGGTATCTCTTGACAATAACCAACAACAAAAATAATTACTGAAATGGTTTCAGCCATACATGATACCATAACAAGGTCTTCTCTATCTCAACCATCATTTTTATTACTACCTTACAAGCTATTAAAGAGAGAATGATCATCTTCGGTCTCAAGGAAACTAATTACACTATGCTAACCCCAAATAATAGGATAGAGCAAAGGTTATTATGACTACCTTACAGTCTCAATACTGGTATTATAAACTGGATTAAGATTGAGGATATTTTTAATGGGTGATAATGGATAGTGTATTAAAGTATACACTCTTACTGCCAGCCGCCTGGCTAACGTTAAATCTTGCCATGCTATTAAAAATTCACTGAATCAAACATACTTTCTTCCAGTTCCAATTAGATAGGTGTTCGTGCCTTGCAGCGTCATAGGACCAGGATTGCAACCGAGGATCCTTATTACTCTACTTGAAAGTTTCGTAACGGACGGAATTACTGCTGCCATTTTTAGTAAATATATATTAATACAAATTAAGGTTTAAAGTCCACATTAAACCACGAAACACATACAATTAACGATAAGATAAAATTAATATATACAAGTTTTGAAGTTTTAGATTGTATTTATGTACTTGGCATTTTATTCGCGAATTTTACTGACATTGACAATAATGACAATCATACGTTTCATTGACAAAAGTGAATGATAATATTTCTATTAACGCTTTTCATTCATTACCAAATGCTACCGTTGAATAAAGTATTTATTTGCTTCCTGGCTAGGGCTTATTAAAGAAATATCACTGAATTCACTGATAATATTACACAGTAATATATATTGACCTTTGACCATGCATCAACTCTGGAGGCAATATGAATACTCTCTATACGAATCCACGATTGACAACCTAGAGGTAATTATAAAAAAATAATTTATATTTTTTAAATGAATTTGTCAACAACTATTGCTGTTGCTGACTCATCATTTATTTTGAATCTTAGCCGCTACTGTTTTTTTTGTTTTCATTTATCCTTAACGGAAAGGCAATGAGTCTAAGCCCATACAGCCGTTTTTGAATGATTTCATTTGACAAGTGTTTCGTATTTAGTTCGTGGTTTGGGTTTGTCAATTTTGACATAACCAGAAAAATGGCTGGTACCCTAGCTCGAGTAATTCAAGGGACAAAAACAAATTTGGGTCAGTAAATTACTTAGATATATTCCAATATTAGTTTTATTTAATCATTTATCATCAAAGAGTCTTATTATAGTTGTATTTGGATTATGGAGTGCTATGTGTTGTTTTCTGCGCAGCGATTATCTTACATAATATTGACTATTTTGTTTCAGGGATTGTTGGCCCTTTGATAAATATCAGTAATGTGCCGGTGAGATGCCAACAAACTCAGGCACCACCCACCAAAAGCCAATATGGGCCCTTGGCGGATAGTGACAGGATTTTCACTAACCTATACGGTCGGCATGAGTGGCGTTTGAAGGGGGCTCTTAGCCGTGGTGACTGGTATTTGACGAAGGATATCTTGTTGAAAGGCACCGATTGGATAGTCAGTGAGTAATTATATTAGTGCACATTTTGCGCATAATTGTTATTTATAAATTAGTACAAAATGGTATTATAACATTACTTTCTACCTGGATCATTGCCATATGAATATGGATTGTGTTTTATTTATTTACGGTACATTGACTGCAGAATATACCACTATAGAGAATAACATATATATTTTATTCAGTTTACGATTTCTATGCTTCAACCTTAAATAAAAACCATTATAGAATTAAGAAATGGTTATTGTTGACTATATTCTGTTGATTTCATTCGTGTTTTGTAATTGTAAAAACTTCATGTTCTTGTAGATTAATGAGATATATTTGAGTAAAAATTTTAACAATCTAATTGCAGATGAACTCAAGACATCTGGTCTCCGTGGACGTGGTGGTGCTGGTTTCCCCACTGGCATGAAATGGTCTTTCATGAACAAGCCTGCTGATGGTCGTCCAAAGTACCTTGTTGTGAATGCTGATGAGGGTGAGCCAGGGACTTGTAAGGATCGTGAAATTATGCGCCATGATCCACATAAGCTGGTTGAAGGTTGTCTGATAGCTGGTCGTGCTATGGGAGCATCAGCTGCTTATATTTATATAAGAGGAGAATTTTATAATGAAGCCAGTAACTTACAAGTTGCCATAGCAGAGGTGAGTTGTGTTTTACTTTGTATTATTAAAATCCATGTAATGAATATTGATATTATCATTTGCAAAATTCAACTAGTACCAGAAAAACAGTGGTTCTCACAACCCTTCAAATAAATTTAAATATATTATAGGCACTACTCATAAGTCAAATCTACAGTCAGGTCTGAAAATAGTGACCCAAGGAGAATTGACAATATACATTGTTCGAACATATATTTTTACATATTAAAACTTAGATTTAGTATACATACTTTGGAATGTATTGTTATTAAGTGTTTTATTATATTGTCTTTTGTAATATTTTATCAATATATCTGGTAATTAAAAAAAGACATTGCGAAATTACCACAATATGATAATGAAAACACATGTAAATAATTATAAATGCTTTTGATATAAGCATCCACAAATGTACAGACAATCAGACAAATGTAAACAATCATTGTTCTGGGTTCTGTTAGTTGATTATGTCCCCCAATAATAGATTTCTCTTTTGTAGTTTATGTACAGATAGTGATCAGTAAATTTTTTTGTATGTATAGATAATAAATTGTATCAAATATGTTTTCAGGCATATCAAGCTGGATTAATTGGCAAGAATGCATGTGGTTCAGGTTATGACTTTGATGTATTTGTACACCGAGGTGCCGGAGCCTACATCTGTGGTGAAGAGACAGCTCTCATTGAATCCATTGAGGGTAAGCAGGGCAAACCACGACTGAAGCCTCCATTCCCAGCTGATGTTGGCCTCTTTGGGTGTCCTACCACTGTCAATAATGTGGAGACTATTGCTGTTGCTCCTGTGAGTGAATTATAATGATATAGATTTTTATGTGTCATCCTTTGCCAATTATCTAATCAACCTTTTAAATAAATGGTAAACAATAATGAATTTGACGACCTGGGTGGTCTAGCGGTCTAGCACACTGCTTTACGACCGATGGTCGCGGATTCGATTCCTCACACGGCACAAACATTTGTATTCATGAGTATGATTGTTTGTATCGGTCTGGGTGTTTTCTATGTATTTACAAAAAAAAATCTATGTATCATCAGTTATCTAGTAGCCATAACACAAGCTTTAGGTAGCTTAACTTGGGTCTAGATGGCGCTGTCTGAATTGTCCTGAGATTATTAGTATTTTTAAATGGGATAGGATGTAAAAATTATACTGGATGACTGATACTGGATATTGGAATTCCTTTTGGAATCAGTTTCATTGCATAAATTCATTACCGTACATACATTAGTGAAACCAAAATACATATTTTGGTTTCACTTGTCTTGTATTTAAATTTTAGTATGTGTAAGAAAATATGTAATTACCTGGTTTTTAATTTGCTATGGAGAATTACTAATATTATAAATGCCAAAGTTTGTGAGTATAGATGAATGGACAATTGTTACTATTTCACGCAAAAACAACTTATGAATTTTGATACAATTTATAGTAATATAGCTTGAATGAAAGAAGTATAATGATAAATGTTAAGTAAGTGAGATGCAGATGAAGTTACGCAGGTCAGCTAGGTTACATAAATGTACTTCTTGGAGATCTAATGTTAATATTGCACTTATTGCTGTTACTTTTATTTACTTGTTTTTTTTTTCTATATTCTATTTATTTATTAATTATATTATATTCAATTTTGAAAACATTGTTTTCAGACTATATGTCGCCGAGGTGGAAAGTGGTTCGCCTCGTTCGGCCGGCCACGTAATTCTGGCACGAAATTGTTCAACATTTCGGGACATGTGAACACTCCTTGCACGGTGGAGGAGGAGATGAGTATACCACTCAAGGAGTTGATTGAGAGGCACGCTGGCGGCGTCACGGGCGGTTGGGAAAACTTGCTCGCTATCATACCTGGAGGATCTTCTACACCATTGATTCCTCAAGAGTATGTACTTATATTTTTTAAACAACAAGATTTATGGATACCTTCATAGTTGCCTGTTGTAGAATATATTTTTTGTTTCTACAGACTTTGCATTGCACTCTGTATCAAATTTTTATATATTTATTTACTTTTAAGGATTACTAACATAAGATACAGCAATACAAATATGTCGTGATTCTATATAATTCTAATAGTCTTATACTAACTGTTCTCATGTTTATAGGTAACCACGGCATGCTTTGAGTTACAAGATTATATTGGTACTATTACTACTATTACACATGTCAATAATATAAACTAAAATTAAATGCTGCTAACAATAATTTATATATATTCACTACTGTTTACTATATACACTGTATCAGTACCTCATAAAAAAAAAATTCCTGGTATAGTATAGTGATATAGTAGTTACTTATGTGGACTATTGGCTTACATTACTTACATCTTAATTTGATAAAAAATTTCTATATGCAATACTTAAGTTATAAAGAATCTGTTTGCTTTTATATTTAGTAATTGTGTTAAAAGTGTCAAAATTCAAAATCTTTTCTTAAAATATAGCATTTATTATCAATGTTTAATATAATTTCCACAGTGTATGCACAACAGCAATAATGGATTTCGACGGGTTGGTAGCAGCCCAGACTTCCCTTGGCACTGCGGCCATCATTGTTATGGACAAGTCAACTGACATAGTGAAAGCAATTGCTCGCCTCATCATGTTCTACAAGCATGAATCATGCGGACAGTGCACTCCCTGCAGAGAAGGTGTCTCATGGATGAACAAAATAATATACAGGTATTTTTGTTTATTTATATTTTTTTATTTTAAAATCTTTAATGCACATAATACAGAAGTAAAAAGTAAGACACATTCATAGTTGTGTAGAGATATGTGTGATTTTAGTGTCTTAAAGCAAAGCAAAGACACATTCATTTTTATGTGTGATTTTAGTGTCTTGCAGGCTTTAGAGTATTTAAAGAGTAGATGCTTGATCTGACTTTAATTAAACTGTACAATATATATTATATACTCTGTGACCATATGAAATAATGTGCCTTTCAAAATGTGTGAATTTAAATTTTCATATAACCATCATTTTAATATCTTTAGAAAGTTTAATATTTAACTGTTAGTGGCATGAACACTTTTTTGAAGTTAACTAGAATAATTTGATATCCTCTCCGTGTACACTATTATCTGTATTTTGGTGGATCAAAATAAGTATATATTGATAAAAAAAAAAAAAAAATTAAATTTTTTTACTAGCGGAACATAAGTAAAAATGCGGGGTATAATTGGTTATATTAAGGGCCGTCCCTAAATGTAATGACGTCATCTCTATTTCAGTAATCTCTATGACCTTCCCACTTCCCGATTTTATTTAAATAGTTAAATTTTTTTTTAATTTATTTATTTAACTTTAATGCACACAATATAATATATAGTATAGTACATTTGGCGGACTTAACACCATGCGGCATTTTCTACCAGTCAACCATAGGTGGTGCAGAGAATAATTGTTGGCGGTGCAAAATTATAAACAAACAATATACAACAAAATATAAACAGAACAAAAATATATATAAACTTAAGAGATACAATAATATATAACATAAATATATACAAATATACACACAAATGTGTACTTATAAATGCAATAAACTTATATATATACCAAATAGTCTGACGGTTTTAAAAAAAATTTAGTTTAGTGTTTTAAAACTAAACACCAAATATGAACTATTATAATATGAAAATTAAGACCCACCAAATTATGACCCGTTCATGATTTTTTCTATGAAGTTTTGTGACTCAATGGCATTCTTCGTTATACAATGGCACATTTAGGCCCCTTCTTCCTTAACTTATGACGTAATTAGATGGCCTCTTTTTATATGTATTAAATTTTCAGTGGTACAAAATTGCAAACTACAGCTAGTGTATAAATTTTACAGGTTTGTAGAGGGCAATGCGTCACCGAAAGAAATCGACATGTTGTGGGAGATTTCCAAACAAATTGAAGGTTAGTGCGCGCCCGCGGCCGGCATTACGAAACACCATATGCGGTTTATTGTATTGTTCCATTACCTTCGCTTGCATTGTTGACCTTACTTAGACCTTAGTTGGATGCATTTTGTGACCTTTTTCTTTAAAAACAAACCAATAGCTGGGTCATATTATCTCGGGGCTCTATCGGTTTGACATACCGCTTTACTTCCGAAGGTTGCGGTTTCGATTCCTCGCACGTTACAATTATTTGTATTCATGAGTATGATTGTTTGTATCGGTCTAGGGGTTTTCTATGTATATTATGTATGTATTTGCAAAAAAAATCAATATTTATATCAGTTAGTATAGCCATAACACACGACCTGTTTATCGTGACGAATTCACAGGCAATTTATCATGATGATTTTGATCAGGTTATTGGTCAGGGGGAATCGCTGGTGTTCAACCTTACATGGTACATTATTAACAATGGGGTCATCAGTCCAAATTACTAATCTCCTTTCCCTCCCAATTATTATAATTTGTATTATTGTAATTTTTATAATAGTATTCTCACACAGGACACACTATCTGCGCGTTGGGTGACGGCGCCGCATGGCCTGTTCAAGGTCTGATTCGCCACTTCCGGCCGGAACTGGAGCGCCGCATGCAGGAGTATTCCGCCGTCAATGGGCCCAGCAAGGCTGAGAGGCTATACTAATGCCCATCTTGTACCTCACCCTCCAACAATGTTCTATTCACGGAGAAGAATTATTAGATATTAAATGCTGTGATCTATGTACAAAGTGTTTTTGATCAGTTCGTGTAATTATTACCATTTACTATATATGTAGGCATACCATATATATAAATGTTTTAGTATCTATTTCTTTATCGGTGCTAAGTGTGTATTTGGCATTGAAACTGGAATACTAAAACTTTATTCAGTAATATAAAGGTGAAAAATAGCTAGTAGTATAAATTATTAATAAACTCAGTATTCTCACCTTTACTTATAAACGTTATGGAGGCTCACTGACATTGACATGACTCCTTTGTATTAAATTGTACGACAGAGAACGCACTATATAAGATTTTCTCCGAGAATAGAGTATTGGGTATGCCTTGTCGATATGAAAATGGGCTAGTTGCGTAATAAACGTAATTTTGACGTAGAAAACGACGGTGTTTCGGCAGTTATTAAATTAAATAATTAGAACGCTAAATACGGTGATCGGTTTCCTCTGTTCTGTCTACACCGTAAGATCTAGCGTGTATATAAATAGTTAGAAATGACACAATCTTCAATGAAATGAAATGAGCAATCTTTTATAATTCCTTTTTCTGTAATTTAGAGAGGTGCCGTATAATTTATTTCATAGACAAAATGAGTCCTATTTTTGTTCGTAATATTTATTATTATCATGGAATCCGGTAAGCCATAATCGCTATCAACTGTACGTAGCCTGCGGCCCAAATAGTGACATTCATGTCAGTAAAATGTAAACAAGTGATTTTTTAATTTAATTGTACAAAATATGTTAATAAAAAAATATTATATAAACTGTTGTTTTACACCCAGCCACAACGTCAATTTATATACATAATATAAAGATCACTGTCTGTACGTTAGTATTTTGGTCTGTTTGTCTGTGAGTTTGTGGGCACTAATCTCGCCAATTTGGGCGCGGTTTTCAGTAATTTAATGTGGTCAGCTTCAATTTAAAACGCTACCATCAATAGTTGTCTTACACGTTTGTTTGTTTTGTTCCAATTATTTTACAAACTATAAGGTTACACAGGTATGAATTCAGCTGTATTAAAAAATATATACCCGATGACTAATTTCGAAGTTTAGATAAAGTTACGGCCTACGGAATATCAGCTAGATAGAGTAGAAACACTGCGTAGGTAAGCTAAAATTACATTTAATTATACTAGGATGTTTTTTTTCTGAAAACAAAAAGTTCCACCTTTTGCACGCCGTACATGTATGTATGTATACGCATAAAGTATCTAGTTAATTACGTAATTTTTATCATCCAAATTACTATCACTTATTTGTCTATATATAATTTGTTTTACGGCCTATCGCATTATTATACGTTTCTAATAGGTACAAGAGTAGAGTATTTAAATACTAATTCGCAGTAAAATTAAAAAGTATTTAATCTGTAATTAGTAATTTATGCTAACAGTTTATTGCTGTTTAGCAACTTTTAAAAACTAACGCTTATGCGACACGTATTGCATTATTGTAACCTCTGTATAAAATAAAACAGTCCATCTGCTTCTGTTCTTATGCCAAACAACTTTTAAACCGCGCATTAGATTTTGATCGAGTTCAGAAATTAAAATGTTTATTTTTCAGAGCATTGCATGCATGTGTATATTATATATAGAAATACAGTAGATATTAATAGTTTAAACAAAAAAATATATGTAATACAGAATCAAGAAAACAAAATATATTTAAGAATGAATTAAAATTACAAAAGAAATAACAAATGGAGTAATTAATATTTTTTAATGATATCGTCTTGTATATTGTGCAACCCAGGTGAAGTCGGAGCGGGCTTGTACTCAGTAATTATTGCATATTATCCACAATTTCCATAATATTAAAGTTCAGCTAAATACGCTATCTCATTATAGGCATAACTTTATCAGATAGTTAAGCGTATTGTATCTATCTACACGACAGAAGTATTCCATGATAAATAGGTAAATGCATAGAAATAACTAGATTTCCCTTTGTATTTCGCAATATGTTGTAACAAAGATTTTGTTACCTAGTTACTTGTATGTTGACACATTATCATTAATGAGGTGTTGTATTTATTTCTCATGTCATAATTGAAACGTAATCATTACTTGCTCAGTCACGCTAATTATGTACTGTAGATATGTTAAATACATACCTATAAACTTCTTTAAAATTTTACAATGTAAAAGTATGAAATTCTAGTAGCGAACATGAGTAGTACCAATAGGAATTGCTTGAAAGAAATGTACAAAACAATTAAATAGTGATGAAATTACCCACTCATCATACTTTGAGCAGGAGGGTCAGCGGCGACGGGGCTCGGGGATGTTAATTATTCAGGACAATTCACACAGCGTCATCTAGTCCCAAGCTAATCAAAACTTGTGTATGGTTACTAGACATTTGATTTAACCCAATATATTGATAATTTTTTTGTGAATATTTAGGTACATAATATGCTTAAAAAACACCAAGACTGACACAAACAATCATACTCATTAACACAAATGCGTTGTACCCTGTGAAGACTCAAACCCGCGACCATCGGAAGTAAGCCGATATACTAAACTGCTGTACCACGGAGGCGTCAAATACAGTAGATATATAGACAATTGTTGCCACTTACTGTCAGCATCAGCCCGGGCCATCAGCTTTTTATCATTTCAGTAATATAAAAAAATCTATATAGATAGAACTGTATAGCTACAGATATACCTACTGCTATAAGAATGTCGGTGACGGGAACCCATAACATTTTCCCCTACCAAATAGTGTCAACACGGCTAATAAGTTTTCACTTAAAAAATGGCAACTATGTGGCTCCATTGCTAACAATGTATCATAGCTGGTCGACTTCCACGCGGTGTCCCCTGGAAATTTTAGTTAGGTATGACTTTCTTATGAATTATCTGAATTAACTTCTAACATTCTCGACGAACAAGACTACTAGCGCAGGCCGGTATCTGTCATAGAATCAGAGCAGACCAGTCCCTATGCATCTTCCTTCCTTATTACTACGATAATAAAATAGAGTATGTATACAGAGACCTAAATTAAAAATCCTTGTAAAATAAGCGATCCATATAACAATAGTAGGTGATTACTGAACTGTCGCGGGAAAAACCAGCAGTATCTTTTAATTTACTGCGTTTCCTTTACCTTAATATAAGTAGGTGTATAATTTTAACTATGTTAGTATCATTTTTATAGCATAATAACGGAATACGGAAATAGACACGTACTCTCAATATTTCTTTCAAATTCTAAGTATTTGAGAAATACCTACAGGTAACAAGCTCTTAAAAAAATAAGATATTTCACTTCTTACGCGTACAAATATCTGATCTAATAACATTGTTTTTACGTTTTCAAGATGCATTAAGGAAAGATTACATAAATCATTAGTCTTCGACATTCTGAAATCAATATATAATATATATTTTACTGATTTATGTGATATTCCGAATAAAATATAGATGTACTGTATAATTTCATAGCCAAACTATGTATAGACATTAGCTATCTTTTAAAATTGTTAAATCATTGACGCTTATTACTTACATATGTAGTTATTGGAATTTTGTAGTATTTTATATTTGGCACAGAGGTCCTATCATTTGCTTAATGGATTTATAATATTTTGTTCAATTCTGCTATAATTATCACGTGTGACTACAAACGTCCACTGGGGAAACTTGACCACCGCTATTGACTCCATGACCACCCCTATTGGTGGTGTCAAATTCCGCTGTTGAGCTACACCCATATTGCGCTGCGCTAGGGGAAGTGGTGGCAAGATGGGGTACTTAAGCTTTAAAGGTCTGTAATATAAAAAAATACATAGTGAAACAATCATATTTATTTTTTAAATAACAACTAATTATTATTATTCTTATATTTGGTGTCATTAGGAACTTTAGGTAACACATTCCGCCCCGTTGCCCCATGGTGCTGGTAAGATGAGGTGATGGGGTGATGAGAATGATCCTATGATCTCTGTAGAACGATGATTATTCGAGCTGGCAGAACACGTAGACATGGATGACTTCATCATCATCATCATCATCATCATCATCTTATTACTACGCAGCTATTATGAGTCCATTTTCCACTTAATGAGCATGATATCCACCCTTCAATGGAAACGGAACAAACTTCATCACAATACATACAGAAACTCTTCATTGTTTTGCTGTTTTCGGTGATCGGCTATTCTTCTTTAATTTTTTATTTTGATCTTTTGTAGTAGTTTTCTTCTGTTTTTTTTTATAATCATCTTTTTTTTGTTTCAATTTTCTATAGTTTTTCTGTTCAGCTCTGTTTCTTTTGTGGGCGATAACTTCTAATTCTTTTTGTAGACCGTGATAATTGCCTTTTTTTAAAGGAAGCCTTAACTTTTCTCTCTATAACCCATTTTTTTACTCTTTTAAACCGACACGTTATAGAATCATTCTAAAAAGACAAACTCACAAAAACGAACTCATTTTTCGGAAAACAAAATATTCTCATTTACCCCATCTTGCCTGCAGAGCCCTTTTATATAAAAAATATCACACAATGACTTTTTTATAGATTAGTTTAAGCATCAATTTTTTAACAAACCAAGTCACGTTTAAGCCAGAAGAAAATGTGATAAGCAACTTGCAATAAAACACTTATTTTGCATTTTTTTCGACACTGTGCACTTGTGAACCACTAAACACACGGCGACTGATAAGTCTCATGGTGGCGCGTGCACGATGATTGAAAGAGCGTGATTGATCAATTTGAACTGTAAATTTTGGTGGGTACCCCGTCTTACCCACTACCCCATCTTACCTCCATCTCCCCTACGTGTTTCGCATCTGAATGAGGCATCATCGGGCATTGAATAGAGTTCGGATGTAGCTTGGAAGCCTAGTGGTGACTGTTTGGCGACCCAACCTTTTTTTAAAGAATTTATTTAAACCAATACAAAATTTTAACAATATCACATGATATTGTTATTTTTTTTTTACAAGTACGTTTAGTAAACAACTGTGACTGATAATATTGGACTCCCGTAAAATAACAGCTAATTTGATAAAATATATGCAGCTATAATACCAGGGATAGGACTGCTCTAGGAAAATGCGCTAGACTTTATAAAAACATCTTTTTTAATATTATCCTATTGTGATATTTTGTAATCCAAATTAAAAAGTAGTACACTTAATTGATTGTACAGCGATCAGAATATGATCATAAATGAATGAATGAAAGAATAACTCTTTATAATTTCTTTTACAGAAATATATATCTGTGTATAAATATAGCTAATATGTTAAGTCTTAGCTATATCATATATCTACCTATATCATATATATTAGTAGATAGGTAATTATGTATACAACAATCGTCAGTATCAATGTAAATCAAGTTGTCGAGTCGTTTAGCAAAAGTGTATGAAGTCGTCAGAACAATAACTGATTGCTTAAGTTATTTGTTCTGGGACTAAAATTATGTAACGATGCTGTAATTCATTCTAATTTTAAAAAGAGTGAATATTTTATTTCTATTTTCGGAAAGGCAAAGGGGTATATGCCCATACAGCCAAGTCTGTTTTTGAAGACTGCAATTAAACATTTACGTGTCAACTCTTTGATAGTTACAGTTCCGTTGCCACCTCTAAAGCCGCAGTTTTGTCTGTATCGGTATTATAACAGAGAAGCTTTTCTCTGTTTACCTTCGATAAAAGTTTTTGCCTTTTATTTTAAATTCTAACCCACTCGTTAATTACTTATTCCCAGTTACGTTAAATCTGGAAGTGGTCACATAGATAAGTTCGCATTTACTTACACTATCTCCAATGAATATTTTTGTGCTTCTTCCACAATCCAAAGACATGTCTGCACCAGCCATTTACGTATGATACAAATACTTTGAGACATTGACATAAACGATGCGGTATTTAGAACAGACAAGATTTTCCATTTCTAGTAATGATAAATATAACGGTACTGTCTATTGCCAGCTATTGGATAGAATCTTTGCCAAACCTGTTCATAGCAACCAATCGGCAATAAAGATATACTATAAATTATATATGATATACTCGTTCCTAAGTAAAAAGGTCGCTGTAAAAATATTTCTCGATTATTGTGACCAAAATAAATAATACCTAACTTTTTAACCTTACGTTAGTCAAATTAGTTGTCGGAAATAAGAACTTACTTTTTTGCATAAGACTCTTTCATTTCAAATATTACATCTACATATATTGCAAATCTCATAACGATTTGTTGAATCGAGGCAACATACATTTTTTTATACATACGCTAGCGCCACACCAGTGGAGGATGATGGGATGAGCAGAATCAGGGTAGTTGCCCATCGTAGCAAATTATCTAGAACTAACTACGAAAATGTCCAGAGAGCACCGCCTGGAGGTGGACATTATTAGCATAATTTTACATAGAGCTGTTATAGTGTAACACTCCCCTCTTCCCTCCACAAACAAACAGCCCAACAATTAACACTCACATTTATATTATATTAGAATAAATATATAGGAGTAGCTTACAGAAGCTGGATAACAATAATTAAAAGGCTGAGTATCTTGTTATAACTATGTATTTTGATAGTTACGTAACAATATTTGTAGGTGTTAATAGTGTCACAAAGTGCTAAAAGTATTTAAATATTATTGGGTGTGACTGTACCTAAGTCTACTGTCGTGATGTAATATAACAGTAAAAGCATGCCATTGATATAGCTTCCAATCGAATGCCGTGTGCATCATATTAATTATATAGACAATAGAAGACAATTGCACGATATAATAATAAAAAAATAAATTTTGTTTTGCGCACTTGATATTTTTATTGTCACTAATTCAGTGAGATATACGAGAAGAATGTGTACACAGAACAATTAACACTATATTTTATAAGAGTTGGCAACGTATTTAAGAGAATTGAACCAAAATTGAATCTGTGTAACCTTAAATGCTTGCACAGTTTCACAATAAAAATGTTTTGTTTTAATTGAGGCGGGCTTGCTTATGCGGATAAAACTTCAATATGAAAATGCTATGCAAACAAATGCTACGCATTTTTCTTTCAGAGTAGTTTCTGTTTATAACATTATTTTAATAGCATAGGGAGAAACCCCTTATAACTATTTCTTATTGTTTAATAAAATAAGTTAAGACGATTAATTTCATGCCGCCTTTTAATTCTGATGATGAAAAAAATATTTTTTCATTGTTTTTTTTTTATAAAATAGTGCCTACAGTTTTAGTATCATAAGTTCAACTCATGTTAGGGCAGCAGAGGAATTGCAAGAAATATATCAGGTTTTCCCCAACATTGTTAGTCATATAACAACTCAATTCAGTTTAATACGCTAACTGACTACATCTCCATCTCATCCTTCACTGCTGCCTGGCTGGGCAGCCCGATGGCAGTACCGATGGCACAATTGTTTCATTCCATAAACGTCAATTTAATAAATACCTACTTGAGCCTTTGGGCCAATAATTCAGTATTGGAAATAGTTTTAGTGTACATAACTATTATATAGGTTTATAGGTTTCAGATTGGACTAGCCTAACCGATGAGGTATTTTTTGTCGTTTATTAATGTTCTATTAATTATTTAGCTCATTGAAACTAGTTATATATCTATTAATTTATTTATCTATATATTAATTATTTTAGTCTTGCGATGATAACTATTTGTGTACGGTTTGCTTGTAGACTTTAAATGACGTAAAACAACAATTCTTTACACAATGAGAAATGGTTAGAAAAAGTACCAAACTTTAGTAATAATATCTAAGTATTGATTAGTATGTACTGAATAGTGACAATTTGTTGTACTAGTAATATTTTTTTTTTATAAATGGAATAAAAAAATGTTGTTTAATACTAAAGTTTAGTTATTTCTCTAATAACTCAACTACTAGTTGAGTTGATTTTTTTTTCGAAGTTCGTGTCATATAAATTTGAACCCTTCAATTCGGAAATGAACTGATTATTTCAATACATATTGGTTCGTGGATGAAAAATTACTATTAACCATTTTATAAAAGAATTCTGTGTGGTGGGTATTAAATCTGATGAATGTCTGTGAAAATCTCAGAATAGGTGCATTTCAGTTCTTGTAGTTTGGTATGTAAATGAAAAAAATGTATTTTATGTAGCATGAAATACATTTTTTGTCGTTGTGAGATATGAAATAAAAGTTTTTAATTTTTTCTAAATTATTTTTATTCCCTTTTATCATCTTTTCTCTTCTTAGGGTACCTTAGCACTATTTACAGTTTGTATAAATTAAAGTAGTAATATTTTACAGATAGGCTACTATTGTACAACACGCTTTTATCACTGAAAGTCTTGACTACTATTTAAAGATTTAAGAGGGCCATTACCATGGGAGTTCAAATTCTATTTCCAGCGTCAGCGGAACACGGAAGTGACGTAACATACGCCCCCGCGTCCACCGCCGACGCCCGAGATTGTATTTAACGAAATGAAAATGAACAACCACGGCGCAAATTATAATGTAAATGAAATTATTGCAAAATAAAAAAACATATGTAAAAAATTTAGAAATGGTAACATTATTGATTTTTAATTTGGGTAAAATTAATTTACTAATAGAAAAAAAAAGAAAACGAAAAATTGATCTCAAAATTTCAATCACAATAAAAACTCAACACCAAGTACCAAATGGAAAAATAATTTAGCTTATAGGAAGAAGTGCCGCCTTCACACCGTCAATTATTAACAACAAATAAATTATTACGTTTAAATTAAATAAATGGCACAGACCAAATTCTACGACCATTCTCGGTACATGGTGGCGATTAAGTAAATATTTTCAATAATTTTCAAACATAATTTTCTGATTTTATATAATAATAACACAATAATAATCGTTAACTGTCGATTTTACAAATAATCACGATTTAATATAACCAAATAATACATATAATAAAAATAACTCTATGATGGAAGCGAACGAAAGTTGCAACAAAAGAACTATCACTTCTGCATAACAACGTAATGGCAATATAATAATCGCTAAATAACATCGGTGGAGATCACAATTACATGATATAAGTTTACTTTTATATAAATACAAAATATACATTTACATAGGTAATTTACCTAAGGCTACAACGAACAGCAACAATTTCAATGCAATATAGAAATCTATACTGTTGTGAAATTGATATGGTTACATTAGGCTTAAGAGGATTTAACGTAATAGTTAACATAATGCTTCATATAAATAATTCGACACGGACAGTTCCGGACAATGAAATAAATATTTGTACGTCCCCGCTCCGGCGGTGGACGGCGCATGGTGGACACCAAATGATCTGTCTCAAAGTCCGAATCGGTCTCCATGCGCGACGAGCTGAGACTCGCCGGTTGCTTCCAAAGATCACAAGAACGCGATATCAGTCTCACTTATTCTGTCATTACAAACATTATGACTACACCACAGCTCGTAAAAGCTTGAACAAAATACCGCCAATAAAACCCGCATAAAACTGTAATTCTGTTGGAGCAGTTTGTTTGCGCCGGTTGAATTATGCGATTCTTATTGCAGATTTCGAGCTTCTAGTTTATAAATTAGATTGTGGCGGGGAGCGGGCCAGCCGTCCCCGCCAACTGATCCCACATGGGCCTTAATCACTAAAATAAAATCTCCAAAGAGACCTTCATTTGGCTTCGGGTACTACTACTGAAATAACATTGAACACGCGGTAATGATTTCGGCTTTTGTAATAGACTATTTCAGTGAGCGCAACCGCAACCTTACAGCGGACATAGGCCGGAATAACTTATAATAAATTCATAAATATATTTGAATCACAACGTACGTTCACTACGCGCGCTGATACTGTTTACATCTTTTTATTTATCATACAGAATGTACCAGTTCAGACGTTGCGCCTGGAACTCTGGACAGACTATTGCAAACAATATGGTTATGAAACTAGTGTTTCCCTTTACCGATGCCAGCACCGGTTATGAGCTGCTCTTTGAATTAACTGATTGAGAACTAGATACAATCTTCTTCCATGTCGACGTCCGGAACTAATCGATCGTGGGACGCGGCGGCACGGGGCGGTAGCTCGTTTCTAGGGTCTCGTGCAAGCCACGGGTGTCTGAGGACGTCCCTGGCGCTCAGACGCTCACATGCTTCCCGCCGTAACAAAGAACGTATCAAGCACTTGCCCCGCGACGACAGGCATTCGGGTACCACGAAGTAACCCCGTGATATTTTCGCGAATAACGACGCATGCTCGGAATCGTTGAATGGATACCTGCAACAAAAATAAATTGCAATTTAGTATGACTGACGATTAACAAAGATATTTAAAAAATATGTATAAAATCTGTGTTATCAGGTAAGTAAATAAAGTAGAAATTTGCACAATATCTAATGAAAACTGATAAGTTAATTTTAATGGATAGGATACTCGGAAAAAAGTTCAAAAAAAAGAATGGTTATCGCGTTTTAAAACGATAAGATAGGATCATTAACATCTACGTTGGGTTTAGGGCCCATAAATTGTTCAGTTTTTACAAAGCACGGATTCCAATTAATAACGGACGATCCGATTGTCATTTGGACCGAGCAGATGCACGCCAAAACAAAAACTCAGGTAATACAGAACCCTTCCGGCGACAGGTGAAGCGGCGATTGCGGCGAAATCCCGAATTCAGAATATAAATTACGGGTGCGAGGGGCCAAAAAAGTAGAAAACAAAGGATCGCGAACGGCAGGTGCATAGCAGCGGAGGTGGCTCTTATTTTGAGCGGGGCGGGGGTAGCAACGTCTTCGCCACATGACCGCGGCAGGTGCGACCAAGATTTCACTAGCCTCACCTACATGTGGGTGATATAATTGTAAGCCGTTGGCGCGTAACGGCCGACAGGTGATCATCCCCTAGCCAGTGTCGCGTCGTGTTCGCCAACGGTCGCCGCGGACCCTCGCGATCTTTAAAAACGGTAAGTCCCACGCTCTGCAGGTGAAGACGCCCACCTCCCCGCCACCCTTTTATTTATGCACGTTTAATTGCAATTAACCTAAATTTCGTTTCCTTTGTCAGAGATAATGGAACAATTTGAATAACAAATGACAATTTAGTCGTGTTGCATATTAAGTATAAGATACGCACCTTCCGACGAGCATCGTGTACAGTATGACGCCGAGAGACCACATGTCTGCTGCTCTTCCCGAGTACGTTCGATGGGCCCTCAGGATTTCTGGAGAGACGTAAGCTGGACAGCCACGTTTATCTTGCAGGAGATCTTCTTCTGGATCATCGAGGACAACAGCATCTTCCAATGATTCTAATTTTAACGTCGTTCTGTAACAAAATGAGAGAAAATTTGAGATTTGAGTGTTAATGGACATCAAAATCATTGTTTGGCCGGTGATGCTGTCAGGTGCATTGCCTTTGACGTGCATCGACCAGTGACCTATATAATTCGCGGGCTCGCTGTCTATAATATTGATATCATATATTTATATACGCGCGATAGCCACTCGCCCGTAATGGTCCCTTTGTGCACAAAGCTTTGTCCGGGCGCCATTACAATTCGCGTGTGCAACTAATTAGCGCATAAAGCATCACACATTATACGTACGCTCGGGATAATGTTGCAAAATGGTCGCTCGGGCTCGCAATTCAATGTATATGTAACAATATAATGTCATGTAAATAATTACATGGTGAACCATAAAGCTGTTCGGTGATGCAATGGGTTTTGTTTCATCATATCACGGGCTTTAGGCGCACCGTGCATGACCTCGTATTTCACAGCCGCCGCATCGTTTCGAAATGCATTAAATGCACAGTTCGAAACACTACACCGGCCTATGTACGACTTCATGTAAATAAACCGCTCCGATCGTATGACGAAGGATAAACGGGACTTTTCAAATTGCATGATTCCCCTACAATTTCTTTTAAATGGTGACCAGTATGTTGCATGTTTCAAAATTCGAAACGAACGTGCAAAAATACAAGAAAAAAATAAATAATATGAGGTTAAGGCGAGGCAGGTGCGCGGTGGGCGGCTATATGTAGTAAAATTGAAGTGCATTAATGCACGCACATAGGTAAGATATTTTTAAACTGTTTAATAATAGCCCAGAGGGGAACGATAAGTTATATTCATTTAAGCTAGTAGTTTTTAAATTCCTTTTACTATTACGGATAACATCTACATTAATTCATATTGGAATAGGTTCAAGCGTAGATTTTCCAAAGGATAGCAGTAATAAATATCAATCAAGTTTATTCAAAGCATAAACTATCAAATTACAAAGTTGCGATTTCTACTGTTTAACAAATAACTAGTCTGCGGGCAAACGCAACACTGGCGACTAAAATTGACGAGACTCTACTGCATGTTTACAATGGCAAAATTATTAAGAACAATTTTAGACCTTACTAAACTATGCTTAATAACTCTATAGTTACAGCACTATTCAAATGCAATACGATAGATTAGTGATATATAGCGGTATTTAATATTAAACTTATAACACGATCGTGACAATATGGAGCGGTTGGCTCCTTCTAAAGGTTACTCTCGTTATGACTGTCGCAATTGCTGTCAGCAGACGTAGTGATATATTATGTGGTAGCGCACCGATACCGAATTAATCGCTATTTTGTTATCTATACAAATATCGAATATAGTTACCATTATTACCACATGAGGTAAGCAATGTAGGCGCTTAACTCGTTGCTTTAGAATACTAGTGTGAAGGCGTACGCCGTGCATGTTTAAGCACGTGCCATGTAATCGCTGTGCCGCAATGAGTATAGATGCACTGTGGGAACTGCGGTTGATGAAACGAGTGACGTTGCTGTGCAACAACTGCACTCCGGCCCTTTTTTTGTACTCCATCAGTGAGCGGCGCCGCCTCCGGAGGACGTCCTCGTATCCGTTTAGGTCTCTTCGACTGCGCAACTGATCCTAATTAAATCCCTACAGCAGCAAGGCTAAAGTGCGATGTCTGCAGTTGCAATCGATTCGAATTTCGCAACGTGTAAATAAGTTATACGGTGTCGTAATGTGGTCGGAAGGTTGGCCGGATTTCCGAACGGTGGCCTCGAAGGATTCTCGACGGTGTCTCGGACGCGGGACGGCGCGGGCGAAAGGACAACTGTCAATTTACGCAATTTGGCATTACGCATACGCAGGGCCGATTTTCGAGTAGCGCGTACCCACTAACGCTCTAATCTGAATTGTGAACTCACGCTCAAAACTAAACTGTATGCATTACTAAATTGACTCACGTTTAAAACTTCGCAACTGCGTTAACTAACGATTCGTTCAAATAACACGTTTGTAAATGGACGGTTGGCGTTCGCCGTATCAACTCTTGGTTAATTTTGTGGAGAGATCCCATAGCTACTGTGTTGTTGTTGTTCAACTGAACATAAACACCATTACGTTGATTGTGTACTAACGTATATCGACGTGTGGGAGATCGCCCACAATTAGCGGGATGCGCTGCGCCGTGATTTTGCAACAGCCGCCATTGCTCAATTCAACCCTGACAGTTTTGTAACAAACAATGGCAGTCAGATGCAGCACACATGCATGCACTTCCTGCTCGACTTATATCGCCAGTCGCCACATGACGAATGCTTGCGCAACTGCTAGGAAGTGCTGTATACGCGCGATCATTCACAAAAGCGTCTCGATACGATGTGTCAGTTATTGCGACAGCAGTCTAATACCTTTGTCAGCGTCAGCGATAGATGATTTGCTATTTTATAGATAGGTTACTTCCGAGCCCTGTGCGCTATGGTAAGCGGTTAGTCATAGGTTTTCGTAACCCGCATTGTAGGGACATGCAGTGTCGCAATCAAGTTGCTTCACCGCGGAGATGCCGCTGGGATAGGTTGGGAAACCATCCCGGCCATGCCCAATTATACGTCGGCTCTTATTGTGCAATCGGGCTCCCACAGCGGATGTTTTATGAAATTCGATTGATAACAGTATCGTAGAATGAGGCTTTGTGGCTTATCTATAACGAGTCTGCGTATACATGGATCGTTTGTAAGCAAACAGAGTTGCGAAAATTGTTAAATGTCTTAGCTAGCAACGAAACTACGATGATATGCAGTATGACAACTATGTACACTCCAGAATTTAGGTCTCAAAACCGCATAGGCTGCGGTACTGTTCACTTTATCGGAGTAGCGATAACGCAAGTCGAACTCAGTTTTGAAACCGAGCGCTGGGCCGCTTGCGAAAACACAAATGTGAACATCGGTTGCTAAATTGTTTTAGTTTTAAAATCGAATTCAGTTAATATAATGTTGGTAGCTTATTTAAGATTGGCATCCAAATGTAAAAATGTAGATTAATTGATTTAGTAGACGATTATATTGAAATGTTATATATTTTGTTTATTAGTTAGGGTGCAATTATTTTATGTTAACATTGCATAACATCACGGTATATTATTTATTTATTTATGAAAAATAAATAATCGGATGAATTTATACAAATAGATGCATGGTTTTTATTGATCATCATCATTGAACACGTCCGACGGTTCGCATCAACAAACAATGTGCGTTTGTTTAGATGCACTTATCTGTGGAGAGATATCATACGGACGCGTAGTTGACGCGAACGGTAGTCGGTGGCCAATTGCAGTGTAACAGTGGAGTGGGCTGTATTTGGCAGGCGGATAGCGTACGTATACAGACCGTGTGTGTCACAATGGTACGGATTATTAGCTGCGTTGCGATATGGCATGTTGCAAGTTCGGGCGGCGGTCCAAGCGCCGCCGCCGAAATAATCCCGTGTTGCAACGTGTGGACTGCGGAACGGGCGCCACTCCAGAGCCCGTTGCGCAAACGCTACTGCCACTCGCAATTGGCCAATTGCGCACGACCATATCTCAATCTCTCGACGCACGCGGCATCATTTACGAAACAAACGATAACGTTCGATGACCCCCGAGTGCCTATTATGTGACGGTTGCACAACGGAAGAAAGTGTTCAGAATGCGTCCGCAAAAAGTATCCGAAATCATCGATCTCTCTCTCGAAATATTGCAATTACACCGTTACGTGGCGTCGCGTTAAATCCGGTGAGTGGTCGACTTTCTAACACGGGGTCGGTGTACGCAGCAGTGTGTCGCAACAATTTCTCCGAGCGTCGCGAACGAAGAAAGCGCGACCTCAGCTGCGTTTTGCAATCGCACGCCGCTAGCAGCACTGACGCGGCGCGCCGGTTCGACACTGCGGAGTAAGAACACCATAGAAAGCGTACATCGACCTACAGCCAGTGGGGCTGGAAAACAGTAATTGGTAAAACCGCAACAACTGGCGTACTTGCAACAGATGCTTAACAAGATTCCTGTTGATTCCTGCCACCGCAATGACACGAGACGTTTAGCATAACAGTTGTGTTCCGCGTGTGCTGGGATTGGGCAAGTGGGTCTGTTACGCAAGCCGCGATAAACGCGCGGGCGCTTGTCACAGGCATTAGTGAAACACATCCGTTCATTGACTCGTTCCCGATATAACAGTGCTTAACTATTTCGAAATTCTTTAGCTGCACACGTGCGAGGACTCTGGGCCACGGTAAAAACCGCTAGTGTCTCACATCTATACCTTGATCTTTAAGGGCCATTAAACAGACACGCTAGAAATACATTGTCGAAATATAAACCTCCACAAGTACAGTTATAGATAGCAAATGTCACATCTTTACCAATATCTCATATTTACTAATTTTAATTTTAGAGTTCTGGCATGCAGGATATTATACGAAGAATTGACAGGTAACTAGCTCAGTAACACGTTTACGTATACACTTTCACAACTTGTTGTTACGTTTCAAACCGAGTTTTCCAAGTGTTTGGAAATGTAATAATAAAAAGTTGGAGCTCCCACATAGTAGACAGGTAATCATCGTTGTTGAAGCATCAGTTCATTGTTTGAAAAACACGTAATGATTGCGAGACAGGCCGTGATTACCTACGATGATAACTTTCACGCTAATGATGACAGGCAACTGTACAAAAACCAACAATTATCTTGGCTTTAAATAGAAATGTCGCACCTGGCGACAGGTCCGCGTGCGTAGAGTACCTCAGTCTTCCAGTTTGTTGAAGTTGCCATAATGACGATAACCATAAAGGGCAGCTGTGTACGTTTGTCGCCCGACAGATGTGGTCTAGATCGTCTGATAAATAAAAAGAGTAAATCCACATCCGTATGCGCCCGCGCAGTTTCCGCCGCGGCAGGCCGCAGCCGGAATCGGCGATTGTTTCGCTCTGCAATCGCTTCCTCCTCATTGTAAAGTGTCGGAAGTGCGAAAGGAACAA